TGCCCACCCAGAACAAGTGCAGAGGACACTACCTGACCACACAAGACCTGAGGCCCATTTCCAAGTTCATTAGACTGGGCACAACCCTTCTACCTCATTCTCTCAGATGTGACCACTTAAAGACTTACGCAAGAGGAGCTTAGCATCATCGGCCACCGTATCGAGGAATTTCCCACGTAGAAAGTAGGTTTTCAGAAACTGGAAGACAACAGATGGGACGCCACCATTCACAGAGCAGAAGCTTTCCCCACATCGCATGGCCTTTGCTGCTATGCTGTCATCCTTCACTAGGGACCAGAAATCTAAGCACCGGGTGTGGCTCTTGATGTCCTGCACGGATGTGCCTAGCTTCTGGGCAATCCCTTCAATGGACTCATCATCTAAACCAAAGTATCTTCAGTAACCCTTCAGGCATGCTTCCTGTTCAGGCAAATCAAAGCCTTTGAGGACGGGCGCAAAGGGGATGAAAGCCAAAGCCGACGACTTGACAACCTCCAGCCACATCTGCTCCCTGAGGAAACCTCTCTTCTGCTCAATGGAAGCATCCGACAGCGTGGGCAACATGAGCGCGAAGGCCTGGCGCTTGTGGGCAGGAAGCTCCGCCAGCAGAGTGCTCTCCAGATGTGGGAAGTCAAAGTCACATAGGTCAAAATTGGAGACCAAGAACACGCGCGGATGGGGTACTCCGGTGGAGCTGAGGCTGGCCAGGCAACAGTCTTGAATCTGCTGCAGAACTCGCTCCCTGCTGAAGGACCTAGGTTTGGTTTCCTGTTCATTATCTAAATCAGCATCCACCTTGGCTCTAATGAAGTAGAATTTCTTCCCTCTTTCCTTGATTTTCTGGGCCAGGAGGGCGTCGTTGAGGCTGAAGCGGGTGGCAGAAATGATGATGAAGAAGTCAAAGCAAGCAAATCCCACTGTTTCTAGGTAGGTTTCTGGGGCGAATTTGGGTGTCCCAGTTCCTGGCAGGTCCCAGAAGGTCACGTTGGGGTATTTTGGGTGCTGATAAGGAGTTTTCTTCGTGGTGGTCTCCACAACCCCAACGGCAGCTGCCCCTGCCTCCTCATGGCCAAGCCCTCTCAGAGCATTGATGAAGCTGGATTTGCCAGTCCCCGACTCGCCGATTACAGCCACTTCCAGGGCAGCATTTTCTGCCGTACTTAGAGTTTCTTGAATCACATCCAGCATAGCCTGTAGATTCCCCTCCGTGAGGGCTGTTTGAATTCTCTTGAGCATTTCCGGAGAGATAATGCCTCCAGCCTCACTGGCCAACTCAGTGTAGTGAGCTATGAAGCCAGCAGCCAGCTGCTGAAAATTCTTTTGTTTCAAATTCTCCAGGAAGGACGAGATGAATGCTTCCATGGCAAGGAATTCTGGAAGGTCTGTGGAAAGAAGAAAAGTGGTACAGCATGGAGTATCTGA